AGACAGAGAGGGCTTGGGAGTTAGGACTCACTTTTCCCTGAGTTCAAGGCCCAGGTCCTACATAGTAGAAGAAGAGGACTGACTATAGCAAGTGGTCTCGGAGCTCTACGTGTGCGTTACGGCATGTGCACACACGTGCACACACGTGCACACCCTGCCCCCTGCAAATCAATAAACATAATGAGAAGTACATAAGTGGTAGAGGCAGGAAGCAGCCAGTGAAGACAGGTTTTTTATTATGTCTCTCTCAGTGAGTTTGGCTCTCAGCCTCCTGACCATGAGGTGTAACGTAGGGCTCCTGAGTAGAAATGCCTGGGGAGACACTTCTTCAGAGTTGGGTAGGCATGGGCAGGGAGCCTTGGGTGGTTCCTGAAGGTACGGAGGGTCAGTAGAAAAGGGAGACAGCTAATGTGTGGAGGACTTGTGGCTTGTGGCATCTTGAATCCAGGGAGGGGGATTTCAAGGTCACGGTAGCCACAAAGTAGAGGTGGGTGTGGGCAGAGCTGCACGGGTCTCCGATTTTTACCTCACAGTGTGTAGCAGCTACAGAAGTGATCTTTGGTTGTTCTGACCCTGAAAGACAACAGACTTTCCATGCCACCAAGATTTGCCTGGTCCAGACCAGCTTGACATTTCAGCAGGTGAGACGGGTGTTTCGGATGCAGCCACCGGGCTGGTCTCTGGTGGCCGGAATGGCTGTTCTGAAAAGGACAGCTCATTTCTCTCGGCTTTGGGACCAAGGCATCTCTTGCTTGATCATAAGTAAGTTTTAGACTCAGAGTTTCTCAAGGATAGGATGAGGATGCTCAGCTGTCAGACCCTTCAGACTGGGAGCTGGGAGAGCCCTGGCAGGGACGGATGGAACATGTTTTGTGAGTGACCATCCTGTCTAGCCCAGCGCCCAACTGAGCGGCAGCACAGGTGGCTCCCTGAGGTTGAGTCTCTCAAGCTCAGGGGTTAGTTTGTTCTCTTGTGTCTTCCTTCCACTGATTTGGGTGACTTGATTGCTTAATCAGGGGATTTTCTGCTTGGGTTTAAGTGGAAGCATTTTTTTTTTTTTAATTAAAAAAATGTATGTGTGTACAGGTGTGGAGGGTCAAGGTGGACATCGGGTGTTTTCTGTCTTCTCTCTCACTTTATTGTTTGTTTAATTGAGACATTCTTTCATTGAACCCAGAGCTTGCTGAGTGCCAAGGATCTGTCTGTCTGTCTGTCTGTGCCCTCCAATGCCAGGTTAAGCAGCCACTACCACGCTCAGCCTTTAATGGGCACTGGGGCTTTGAACTCAGGCCCTCACACTTGTGTAACAAGCACTTTAGGCACTAGGCCACGCACCCGACGCCTAGGTGGAACACCTAGCATATGTGTACGCAAGCCAGCAAGTTCAGAGTTGTGTTTCTACCTCCTCTGTGCTAGGCTTACAGGTATGTAGTGTTGCATCCGGCTACTTTGTGTCAGTGCTGGGTATTGAACATGGTTTCTCATACTTCCGTGGCCAGCACTCTGCCAACTGAGCCACTTCCCCTGCCCCAAAATGCCGGAGTTTTAGTTAGCTTTTTGAGGAGCCAAGTGGCTCTTGTCCTGAGGCGAGGGGGTGGGGGAAGGGACACGTGTTATTTACATTTGACCTGTGTCATCAAGCACTTTCCCATCTGCTGAGTGACTGAGTTTAGCGTGTCAATGACACCTTTGTTTGTTGAGATGGGATCTCTCTATGTAGCCCTGGCTATCCTCATATTTGCTATGTATATCAGGCTGGCCTCAAACCTACAGAGATCTTCTCTGTTTCTGCCTCCAGAGTGCTGGGGTTAAAGACTTACCTGGCCAAATGATGCACTTTTAATTCCAGGTTTAAAAATCTAACCTTCCTTTGCTTTTCTCTGCCTCCAAGTCTCTGCGTTTAGCTTTTGCCTGAGGAGCTTTCCATGTTGCTTGCTATCTGACAACAGGACCAGGTCACTCTGAATTCAGAGCAGTCGTAGTCCATAGGAGAGTGGCAAAGGTGCCACAGTTTCTGGACGCCCCTCTCCAGCCCCCCTGGTCCCAGTGTCTGCTGTGACCTGGCACATTTATCTCAATTGGCACCGTTAGCATGGGTGCGATACTGTCAGGTAACTCTGTTTGCGCTCTTTCCACCACCCAGTTCATTTAGCGTTGTGTAAATTTTGATTTCTACATGGAAATGTCTCATGCAGTTGCCTAGAAACCCTCCCTTCTTTGCAGTGTTAAAACAAAAGTATGTTCAAACACACAGTATAAAGAAATAGACACCTGGGAGACGGGACAAGAGGGACACTTGCTCTGCTGCCAGGACTCAGTTCCACAGGGCTTTTCCACACGGGTGTTAACTGGATCCTATTTCCTAGGGCCTCCTCCTCCAGGGAAGCCACAGGTGCTGCCAGAGAGCATAGCTGTGACAAGCTGGGCAGGCCCATCAGCCCCAGATCCCAGCTTCCCTATCTGTACCCAAAGTGTGAACAGCAAGGCCCTGGGAAAGCCACATCCGTGCTGAGGATTCTGTAAAGCGGTTGAGGAAGTTGGAACACAGCCGATTGAGACCAGAATTTCCCTCAGAGCTCCAATTTTCCAGTTGGCCATTTATCACCTACCTGTGTGTCCATTCCGACTTCCTTTTAACCATCAGGTGAAACCTTTTCGATGTCGTAACAGACTGTGCCGGCTAGTTGTATATCAACCTGACATGGCCTAGAGTCATCAGAGAAAGGAACCTCAACTGAGAAAACACCTCCATAAGATTCCATCATGGGGCATTCTTTTAATCAGTGATTGGGGGAGGGCCCAGCCCATCGAGAGTGGTGCTGGTGCTCCTGGGTTCTATAAGAAAGCAGGCTGACTGGGCCATGGGGAGCAAGCCAGTAAGCAGCACCCCTCCATGGCCTCTGCATCAGCTCCTGCCTCCAGGATTCTGCCCCGTTTGAGTTCCTGTCCTAGGTGCCTTTGATGAGGAACAGTGATGTGGAAGTGTAAGCCACTTTCCACAATATGAACCTTTTCCTGCCCGAGCTGCTTTGGCCATGTTTGTCACAACAGTCGTGACCCTAACTAAGAGACAGACCGCTAGGTTCCACCGATCCCAAAGCTAAGAATATCATCTTGGCATCTGAAGAGGACAGCAGGGATTCCCTGTAGTGCTGTGACCTGCCTGCCTAGTGTCCCCACTGATATACTTGGTAAATGTATTGACTGATGAAAGTTGGTGTAGCCACTCCCATGATGGAACATATCATCATCAAAGCATCATGAATCTGAGTACCTGGTCCATGGTCACTCACCTTTAGCTCAGAATAAACTCTCTTAGGCCCTTTGGAGAGAACTGTGCTTTACAAAGAAATCTGGCCCCTTCCCAGAGGCCAGTTCCAGCCGATAGCCCTAGGCCCTCGGGGCCCAAATTTGAGCTGGCAGCCCATTCTTACTTTACCAGCTTCTCTCTCATGCCAACAGAATGGTTTATGGGTCCCCTTAGGGAACGCAGTCTCAGGGAAGCCTTGGAGGCTCCACTTGGTCTCTCACCAAACACGTGGACAGCGGTCAGAAAGCCAGCCAGCCCGAGTACTCACTGGGTGGTTGCACAGGCCTTGCATAGTTAGCACTGCCACGTAGGAGTGGCAGTGACTCCCAACCCTCACCTTTGTGCTGCACCGCCCAGCCCCAAGGTTGACTTCCTGCCCGCCGTCCAGGAGTTTCAGGCACACGTGGAAGGGAAGGGTGTGTACCATGAACACAAGTCAACCTTTCTCTGGGTTTCCAGGCCACGCCTCTATCTGGGTTGATTCAGATTTCCTGTTGCTTTCAGCTTCCAAATCAAGTACGAGGCCCACAGGCACAGCCAGAAAGTGAGCCCCTAGCTCCTCCCTAGAGGGTCAGCCACCTCTTCAGGACTCTAGTGGGGTTGGCCACTACCTATCAGCACCGCTTTTTTATTAGTGAAGCTACTAGAGTGCGAACACAGCTCAGACCTTGGCTACTCTGCAATCTGCAGGGCACAGTGTTATGTCTGCAGATTGCAGCGGTTTGCAATGCTGGGGTTTGTAGGCTTCTTGGCTTGCCTCTCTAGTACGCTACATGGAATGCTGAGGGGGAAATTTTTGTTTTAGAGGTGTATTTTCATTTTTAAATTGTGTGTGTGCATGTATGTGTTTGGGGAGTAGGGGCTGGGGATATGTCTCATTTTGCCCACTGAGGCCAAGAGGGCATCAGATCTCCTGGAGCTAGAGTCACAGACTGTTATTGTGAGCCACCTGATGTGGGTGCTGGGGACTGACCTCAGGACCTTCGCTAGACAGAGCGGTACATGACTGCAGCTGCTGAGCCATCTCTCCAGTGTCCCCATCCCCCATGTTCTGTTCTGAGGGAATGTGTAGGTGTATACTGGGATCAGTCCTGTGAACAGCCTCTGTATTCCTGTGGATGACAGAAGCTCGTAGGCCCCTGATGGAGGGAGTCAGAAGCACGATCCTGGGAAGGCTGGGCCACTCTTCACCAGGCTGGAGGTCTTCAGCTGGATCTCAAGCTATGAGGGACCCTGAGCTTGGGAGGCCAAATGGAGATGGCTGGCACCTCTGGTCCTTGGTATTCTCAGGCTGGGCAATGATAGCTCTCTGATGGGGGGAGTCAAGACTCCTTGTTGGTCTGAGCTGTGGCTCTCCTCTGACAGCTACAAATAGGCTATGTAAAAGGTCATGTCCCTTCTATAGTGTGGTGACATTTCTCCTTGGCTTGGGAATGACAGGATTTGTTCTACCGCCACATGGGGTAAGTGTGTCCTGCAGGAGGCTCTGACATACAGGAATGGTCCATTCCAGCGGTGACCAAGGTCAGTAGGACTGACTGTTCAGTAAGGAGTGGTCAGCTGGTTTGGGAGCTGGTGTGCTTCAGAGGCCAGCACTGTGCTGGGGAGATGCCAACCTCACGCAGCTGGTGTGGTGGTGCTGGCGCAGGCAGGGACCTGACTGTCCTCACTCCCGGCTTCTACTCCACAGGCTGGCACCCATGCGGCTCTACACACTCTCCAAGCGTCACTTTGTCCTCGTGTTTGTCGTCTTCTTCATCTGTTTTGGACTGACCGTCTTCGTTGGCATCGAGGGTAAGTCTGTCAATCTTTTTTCCTCTTACAGCGCTTAGGTTCGGTGCAGCCAGCCCAGCTGTGCCGCCTGACTCCCAGCCAGACTTCAGCTTGTGCCTTCTCTCTGAGCCCCCAGGGCAGAGGGTGGTCACACCCAGTGACTTGTCTTCTTGGTGGGCGTAGCAGGCAAGCTGGGTAATGTAAGCATGCTGTTCACAGCAGCCAGAGCCCTAGATCAGCTTCTGCTTCCTGCCTTTTATTTGCCTAAAAATAATAGTAATAATAATAAATTAATTTATTATTATCTCCTGTTTCTCCTCCTCCTTTTCCTTCTTTCTAAATAAGCCAACCTGGCTTTGAGCTTGCTTTGTAGCCCACTGAAACATTTCTAGAGTCTCTTTTGTCCTGGGGAATCTAGAACCCACAGTCTAAAGGGGATACAGGCCATGTGAAGGTCTAGGTGAATGGGACTGGGGGTGCAGAGAGGTTGGACTGGTGACACTCCAAGTTCCAGGACTGTGTGAAGAGCACTGGGCATTAGAAACTGCCCAAAAATTTGTAGCTCTGACATCCTCTGGGAAGGCTAACCTGGTTTGTTGTTGTTGTTTTTGTGTGTGTATGTCCAGATGTCCAGATGTTGATGTCAGATATCTGTCTATATCTGTGTGTCCAGATGTTGATTCTGTGTCTGTATCTATGTATGTGTCCAGATGTTAGTGTCTGTATCTGTGTGTCCAGATGTTGGTGTCACATATCTTCCCCTGTTCTTCTCCACCTTATATATATTAAGGCAGGACCTCTCACTTGAACCCAGAGCTCACCGATTCAGCTAGTCCAGCCAGCCAGCTTGCTCTGGGGACGCTGTCTCTGCCTTCTGAGCCCTGGCATTACAGGCAGGTCTCTTCCTGCCCACCATTTACTTGGGTGTGGGGATGTCAGGTTTAGTCTTCATACTTGAAACTCAAGCTCTTGGCCCACTGGGCTGTTTCCCCAGTCCCCCAACTTTCTTTTTTACAGCCATAAAACAGAGCCACAGAAGCTAAATGGATTTCCCAAGGTTTCAGGGGCTGGGGCTTTGTGTCCTGTCCCCACCGTGGGCTGCAGGAGCCAGCTTTGGCGAGAGAGTGTTCTCCATTTCTTTTCCTTTCTTTTTAAGTAAGACAGCTTGTTCATTGAGGGTGGTTTGCGTTAGCTGCTCTGAGTAATGGGTACACAGATGCACAGGTGCACAGGCACACAGGTGCATGTAACACTTGAGTGTGAATTGCATTAAGGCTTAGTTATATCCCAGGGGTATTTGTGTCTCAGAAATCAGTGGTGGGGGATTAAGATGCTTCTTGCCTTGTGGTAATGAAAAGGACATAGTTGTCACCATAGCCACTATAGACAACTCCTCCTCCTTGCTGTTAAGTCACTAAAGGATTAAGTCATAGCAGTTATAGCCGTCATAACTGTTACCAAGGCTCACCCGTTGTCTCGCCTGCATCTTAACCTGCCCTTTCACATGGTAGGGAGGCATCAGTATTGTGTGCAGACTCAGTGGGACATAAGCCAGATTTTGTTCCCTCAAGCCACTGTGTCTCAAACACCCCAACTCTACCCAGCCTTTACTCTGAGATGAAGGTGGAGGTTGATACCCCAAGGCCAGTACGGGAGTCACAGGGCTTTCATCACTTTCTCTCACGCACAGATTACTGTGCGTCTTCTAGAGAAAGAGAAACAGTAGGGAATACGTATGTGCATATGCATGTACACACACACACATGTATATGCATACATGTGCACCCACTATATTATTATAATTATATCTCGTTACTGTATACAATTATAATACGTAATGTAATTATAGCCATTACAAACAATGATACTTATATTAAAATGTAAGTGAATTACAATGTAATTATTGATATTATTACTAGATATAATAATATATACTAGATATAATATATTGCTAGATATGTAGTATAAAATACAGTATATATTATATAATCATATATAATATTATTCTTGTATTTATATAAGGTAAAGGAACTGGCTCACACGATTCAGGAGATTAAGATATCTGCAGGTCTCTAGTCAGCAGATGGGAGCCAGGAGAGCCAGTGTATCAGTCAGGGTCCAGGGGTCTGAGACCCAAGGGGTTGATGTGTGAGCCCAGTCGAGTCTCATGGTAGGAGACAGGCTCCTATGAAGATGGGAGACCAGTTCTCCTTAACTGTCTGCTCAGATCTTTGCCCACCTCCTCTGAGTAGCGCGGTCTGCCTTATTCAGTTGACTGACTGAACCGTGAGAGCCTTATCCAGTAGGCCCTCAGAGACTTGTGAGAGCCATGTTCAACCAAACACCTTGCCATCCATACCCTGTGCCCCACTGAGATTAACACATGAAATTAACTGTTGTTAGCACACTCGTCTTAATTACTTTATGTGTTATGTTACTACCTTATCCTGTAGAGGTGGAAACTGAGGCCCAGAGCGACTAGTTAGCTCAGAGCCCAGGTTCTTCTGGAGCTGGATCTTAAGTCTCTCTGAAAAGCCAGAGTCAGAATGCACTAGTTGAGGGAGTCGGCTCAGAAAGCACCTTGCTGTGCAGTGGCCCTCTTCCTAGATGGAGACGTCCTTGCAGGATTTGCAGGTGCCTCTGAGTCAGGAAGTTGTGCCAGTCAGTGCACGCACACTACCCCAGCACAGCCTGAGTTGGATGGAGACTTGTTGGCGGCAGGCTAGGGAAGCCATGGAGGCAGCCTAGAAAATTGGCATCATAAACTGAGAATATTTTTTTTTAATTTACTTTAAAAAGAGAGTCTCACTGTGTAGACCAGGCTAGCCTAAAACTTGCTGTGTAGACCAAGCTGGCTACTTTGTAGAGATCTGAAGTGGAAACTTGAGGGTTCTGTGGAAAGTCAGTTGCGTTGGATGGTGTTTTGCTGGGGCAAACACGTGAAGGAGTGTTTCTCTGAAGTGGACACAGATGAAAGACTAAGGCAGACTCGTGAAGAAAGGTTTCACTAAAGCAGACACAGGTGAAAGGATGTTCTGCTAAAGCAAGCACATGAAAGGACACATGATGAAGGACTCTTCCCTAACAACACGCATGCATTGGTCCGCCTTACATTGCGTCTTGAGCTCCTTTTGTCGGACTCCATAGAGAGAAACACAAAATACTTCTGGTGGTGTGCTGTTGCTGCTTTCTGTTTCCGGACTTGGGCTGATTGGCAGAGTGATGTCTGCTGGGACAGACGCATGCACGTGCTGAGGCAAGACCAGTGGAGGACACGTGATGTTTGAAGGACGTATAAACAGGACAGTGATGGCAGCTGAGCTTGGCTTGCTTATAGAGCTAGCTGTGCAACGCTTGATGGGCTCTCGTCTTCCATGATCTTCACTTTGTTGAGGCGGGCACAGCTGAGAGCTTCTCCTGGCCTTTCTGCTGGTTCGAATCCCTTATCCTAACTTACGCTGATTCGGCTGAGGTCTGGCTGTTCTGCTAGGTCGTGCCACCACTGCTGCTATCCTAACACTACCAAACTGGGCTGCTGCTGTGTCCGTGATGTGTTTGTGAGAGGATCGGGCTGCCACTGCTGACCTGTGAACTGAGCTGCTGATTTCCTGACAGTGCAGATGGGATTGCTCCAAAGAATCTTTCTAAACAGGCCCACCTTCCCCTGTATCCTTTCTTTTCCACTACCTCTGGTAGGTAGTGGGCTAGAAGGGAGGTTAAAGCATTCAAGACCCATCATTAAGAGTAGGGTTTGGAAAAGATTAAAGTTACAGAGATCCACCTGCCTCTGCTTCCTGAGTGCTGAGATCAAAGGCATGTGCCATCATACCTGGTGAGAATAATATGTGTTAGACAAATCCAGCTGTAAATTACTTTTAAAATCATTTAAGGCCAGAAGCCCTGAAGGACCAGTACAAGAACAGTAAGAATCAGAAGCTAAGGACTCTGGGAAGATGCTATGGTAGAAGGAATGTCCTTCCACACCTAGACCAGTCACAGCAGCAGAAAATTGGATGGATGGGTTATTTTGGGATCCTGGAGTTTGTCGAGGATTTATAACTTCCTGGGGTGGGCAGCTAGACATTAAATTGTGGCTGATTTTAGCTTGTTTAGCCCTGAGTGCAGTGGTAGACCCTCATACTCATGCTGGTTCGTTCTAATGCAGGCATCTGTGGCTCGTGTTCTGAATCGGCCTGCATATAGTAGTTTGTAGGAGCCAAGGTGAACAAAAGGGCCCTGTCTTCCCTAACTGGGGCCTGAGCTCTGCTCCTCTGGTTGCTGCTTCTGAGCACAGAGGCGCGCGGCAAGGCAAGGTGGCCATTGTCGATACACTCAGAGTGCCACGGTTGTCACCCTACCTCATCTAGCAGAGGCCACCAGGCAGTTTAAAGAACTAGACCATCTCCTCTCTTCCTCTTGGGACCAATCATTGAACATTTGGAGATTCAGAAGAACAGAACAATCAGGGGAAGTTAGGCAGTCACCAGAGGAATGCACAGACAGGAGAACAAAACCCAAGAAAGTCTCGAGTTAAACCTGTCAGCTGCTTTTCAGCATAGACATCTACAATAGCAGCAACCAGCCAGGCAAAAACCAAACCTCTGCGGAGAGGGAGCCCCTGACTTCCAGGGTGCCACAGCATCATCTTTAAAGACAAAGCCAACTGAGAAACAATGAAGCATAGCTCACAGAAAGAGGAACAAACAAAAGAAAACATCACACTCTGTCCCTGAAGCCGTGTGGCAGATCTGCTAGACAGAGCTGTCTTAGAGAATAAGAGGAAGATGTGGGAAGAGCCCAGGAGCGTTAGGGGATGCCAGGTGGGGAAGAGAAATGAAAAGGAAATTCTGGAGCTAAAAAGTACCTTAGTTGAAAAGTCCGCTGGAAGGGTCAGTCAGATTGGAACATGCCAAGGGAAGTATCTCCGGACCTGAAGATAGGCTGACCAGCATGTTTGAGTCTGAGGAGCAGAAGGAAAATTAGGGGAGATACTAAACAGCCTCCAGGGCCTTTTGGTCACCATCAAGTAAACGATACCCGAGGTGTGAGTCTCAGGAGAAGACGGGGAGGCAGGGAGAATAGTTCCCAATTCAGATGAAAGGTGAATATATGCACACAGGAAGTTTAATGAGCTGCTGTGGTCTAAGTTCATAGTCTCAGACCAAGACACTACAGCCTACATCAGACAGAATCCCGGCCAGACCAAGAAAGAGGGACTCAGTACAGACAGTCAGTCCTCGGTGAGGTTGCTAGCACCTGTCTCAGCTCAGTCGTACCAGGCAGAAGACAGACCGATGCATTGAAAATGCTCAGAGAGTTCTTAACCAGGAATCCTGGCTGCAAAACTGTTCTTCAGGAGGGAGAGGGAGGTTGAGTGTGCTGGCTCACGCCTACTGTATTCCTAGAACCTGGATGTCTGAGGTCAGTCACGGCTACGTAGTGAGACCCAGTCTCTAGGTGAAAGACTAGGGGTGAAAGGAAGATGCTCCCCGGAAGCAAAAGCCAAGGGGCCAAGGGGGGGAACCATGGGTTCAAACACAGCTAGTCCAGCGATGGCGACGCTCACAAAGCTCACGTCATTCTGACGTGAGTGTCAAAGCCCACTCTCTTTCTCATTGCTGAGAGGCTTGCATGTTTACAATGCAGAATGTGAAGCTGCTGTTACTGTAAGTATGCAAGTCCACACTTTGGTTCCTACGTAAGAGACTTAACTTTGTTACCATTGTTTTATAGGTTTGGATATAAAATGACAAATAAGTGGGAGAGTACTTGACTACCTAGCACGTTCAAGGCCATGGGTTTGATTCTCAGCGCCTCCCCTGTGATGTGCAAGCTGCGTGTCTGTCTGTCTGTCTGTGTGTCTGTCTGTGTATGTTCACAAAGATTGTGTCACAATTGTAACATGAAAGATGAGACAGTTTTTATATATTGTCATAGTAAGCTGTTAGAAACTCCAGTCAGAATATGACTTTGGGTGTCAACTGAGGAACAAAAAAAGCTATGAGGCTGATGGGAAACAAACGCACAGGAAACAAGCATAGAGGGGCTGGAATGAGCCGGAACTAATCAGTAATCAGTAAGGTGATTGATCCTCCAACTAGAAGGCAGAGATAGCTAGACTAGATTGAAAACACTACATGAGGAGCCAGGGAGAAGGCTCAAAGGTTAAGGGCACTTGTTGAGAAACCATGAGGACCTGAGTTCAGATCCCAGCACCTGTCTGCAACCCCAGCACTACTGGTGGGAAGACATGGAGATGGACAGTCACTGGAGGCTCGCTGGCTTCCATCCTACCTGGAAAATGTGAGTTCCAGGCTCAGGGAGAGACACTGCCTCAGAGGGGCAACACCAGAGGTGAGAGAGGAAGACACCCAATGGTCTTCTCTCTGGCCCCTGCACACATGTGTCCATAGGTGTGCACCTCCCTGTGTATGTACACCACACACACTCTAACACACGTGTGTGCACGTGCACACTACATAAATATCACAACACAGAGGGTATGTTGTCTATAGATGCCTTATTTTCTAAACAGAGACAACAGACAGGTTGAAAAGAAAGGGTAAAACAAACATTCCGTGCAAATAGCGTCATATGGTTAACATTCATATTCTCCTTGTGGTTTCCAAACAAAGACAGGATTCTGACGAGGCATCTGTAGCCTGTGTTCAGAGGAACGTTACCGTAGTTACGATGGTGAACCCGTTTACTCATCCATTGACAGATGATGGACAAGGACCGTGTGACATGTGCTACAGCCGGACTGTTGTCTAACAGAACTTTGTCTGGGGAGAGGCAGCACATCCATCTCCTCACCCCAGATAGAGATCCAAAGACAGACCCAACTGGGGCTCATTACAGGAGTGTGGGTGAGGGCTTATGGGGACAGAAACAGCTCAAAAACAGCTCCGTCACCAAGGCCCACCCCAGCATGGGTGACAGCTTATAGCTAAGAAACTTGGAGCACACTGCACAGCCTGCAGGTAGTTCAACAGGTTGAAGAGTGTCCTTTCCAGGCAATTCTGGTCTAAATCTCTTCTAGGCTGCTTAGCTGGTTTCTGCTTCTTCCAGGCAGTTGGCCTGGTGTCAGAATCTTTGCAGCTTCTCTCCTCTCTAACCTCTCTCTCTCTCTCTCTCTCTCTCTCTCTCTCTCTCTCTCTCTCTCTCTCTCTCTCTCTCTCCCTCTCCCCCCCCCCCTCCCTCCCTCCCTCCTCCTCCACCCCCCCCACTACAGCTCAGCCTTTCTTCCTTTGAGGAGAGCTCTCAGCTCTTCTGCCTTATCTGTCAGAGAGGGACCTAGTGAATCTGGTCAGTTTCAGGGACTTCTTGAAGCTATTTCCAGCTGCTTACCTTCTGTTCAAAGCAGTGACTTTCAACCTTCCTAACACTGCTTCCCTTTAATACACAGTTCATGTTGTGGTAATCCTCAACCATAAAATTATTTTCCTTGCTACTTCATAACTGTATTTTTGCTACTGTAAATATCTGATATACAATCCTGTCATTCATAACCCACAGCCAGGTTGAGAGCCATTGGTTTAAAGAGTTTCCCTGCAGGAAACTATTATAGAACAATGGCTCAGTGGGTAAAGCCAGTGGCCTGCTTGCTGCTGAGCCCCAACTCCAAAGGAGGGCACCAACTGCCTTGGGTTGTTCTCTGATCTCTCTGTGTACACACGCTGTGGCACACATACATACAAAAAGGTAAAAAAAAGAAAAAATTAGGCAATTTAGACACATTACTGCATGAGTCATGAGAACATTGTACTAAATTAAACCAGTCACAAACAGATGAATACTGTGTGATCCCACTTAGCTGAGGTACACAGAGATGGCTGCCGGGCAGAGGGAGGCAGGGAGCTTAATAAGGCAGACAGAGTTTTACAAGAAGGGCTACAAGATGGAGGCTGTGCCTGTACAGCACAGATTACTGAATCCTGCTGGACTGATTGCACTGTCAAATGTGCTTAAAATAGTAGGCTCTCTATGTATTTTAATCGCAGTAAAATTGGGGGAGAAAGAACTTAATGAAACATTTATTTCAAAAAAGGCTTATCTTTCTTTCACCCCTGCTTAGTGTTTCTAGAAGACCCGGTTAATTGGATGGGTTCATTGACTAGTCTTTATTTCTTAGTAACGTTCCATTGGGGCCGTGTACACTAGAAAGAGCAGTAGGCGGAGTCTATGGAGATCCCACCATTGCATGCTGGTCCTTCTGCCTTAATGCCTTAATGCGTATGGAAGTTGTGTGGCACAGCAGAGAGTGTACTGTGTTTGGGTATTTTACCTGGTTACTTAAAATCTCTTTTTAAAAATGGGACCAGATACGAGAGATCATTCTGTCTAATGTGTAAGTCTTTGCTGCATTTAATTTGATTGCAGAATCAGTAAGTTATCCGCTTTAACCCCTCTATCCCCTTCTCTCTGTTGTTCTAGGACCCAGGGTGATCCAGACCTCACCTGCTAACTGTTCACAGAATAATAGCAAAAAGGTAAGAGGCCTGAGCTGTAAGGAGCAGATGGTGTTCATTACGTACTTTGGCCCTCAGGGGAGGGTCCTGAGGCTAGACTGCTCGGCCTGCTCAGCCAACAACAGTTCTTGTTTCACAGTCAGGGGCCTGTCAGCTGAAATTCCCTGGTCTAGGGTCCTCAGTGACTTGGGTGGTGGTGGTGAAGGAGACGGCTCTTGTTGGATACCCTGCTGCGCTCACTGTTTAAACAGTGACGACTTGGGCATCTGACCCTTTCCTTTAAAAAGCTTCATTTGTGTTTATGTACGCGTGTGCATGTGTGTGGAGGCCAGAGGCTCACCTCAGGGTTTGGTCCTCAGAAACCATCAGCTGGTTTTGTGGGTTTTGTTTTTTTTTGTTTTCTTTTGTTTTTTTTTGAGCTAAGTGTTTCTTCACAGGGACTTAGCCTTGCCAGCTAGGCTGGCTGGCCAGTGAGCCCAGGAATCCTCCTGTCTCTACCTCCTCAGTGCTGGGATGACAACTGTGTGCCGTCTACCTGATGGATGCCAGGTGGGGGGTGGGAAACTCAGGTGCCCACGCTTTCGTGGGGAGCACTTATGGCTCTTTGCTCTGTTTGTCCACGTTAGGACTTGTTCCCTGTTGGTTCCAATAGCCGCACCTTCTTTGTTGGTGGGGTTCTCTGCATGAGGTCAGCTTAAATGAAAGTGTGCTGGCCCCTATTTAAATGTGCCTTGAATTATCACCACCGTTGTCAGAAACAAGTCCTTCCAATCGGAGAAGTGAGCAACAGGGTCTCTCGGTGTCGTTCATAACCAGTCTGTAGCTGAATATGCTCCTGTGTCTTCACAGCGAATGCTCAGTGTGGTTTCAGTGTCATCATTTGTCCTTCCTTCTGTCTCCTGCCAGCCTACCTGTTAGGGTCTCGTCTTACAATTTCTGCGTTGTTTTGAGGTCCCACTTTGTAGCCTTGGTTAGCCTGGAACTTGATATGTAGATCAGACTGGCTTTGAACTCACAAAATTACATATGCCTCTGCCTTCTGAGTGTTAACATTTGTCACAATGCCTGGCTCCCTTACAATTTTTGAAAGGGCAAAGTAAAACTATATATGGTTAGCTGCCACTGCCACCCTAGATCTGCCTCTGGGCAGCCAGCCTTCCAGGCCTCTCTGATTCCTTGTTGTGTTGAGCTCTGAGGCAGGGGGTCTGGTTTGAAGAGGCACTACCATGAGGTTTCTTGACAGTTGTGGGTCTTATAGTCCCTGCCTCTCAGGGTCTCTCTCTGACAGTGAGACTAACAGCCATCCTATGAAACTCAGAGCTTCTAGGAAAACAATTTGCTTCAGAAAGACAACACTCCCCTCTGGTAGTTTACACTCCCAATGGCTTTCAGACAAGTGTGGTCTCAGAAAGTTTGGCAGAGACCCTGACAGCCTGGAAACAAGACATTCACCTCTGCAGGTGAAGCCTTCAAATGATGCAGGTTGTGGAAGTGTAGGCAGACACCCTCACCAGCCTCCTCCACAGCCTTTGCCATGGGACACCACTGTTGTGTTTACAGGAGACAGACACTGTAGATGACCACTGTAGATGACATTGTCACACAGCCAGCCATCTCAGTTTCCTCTGCAGGCAGGTTGAAACTTGTCTAATGCTGGAAATGACAAACATGAAGCACCGATGGCCGCCCCCAGTCACCGCACCACAGAGACGCAATGTCCACAGCCGATCACAGTACTACAGAGATGGTTACAGAGATGCAGGATACTGTGAACATGGACAGTTCCCTGCTGTCTTGTATCACTGCACGAAGCCAGTGCAGCCAGGCCTCGGTAGGAAGCTAGTTCCTGTGTTCTACAAAAGAAAGCTACCCAGCTCTGTCAGCGCTCATGAGCTGAACTGTGTGCAAAATGTTTGTTTTATATTTTAAGATAAGGTATCCAGGGATTCTGTGAACAGATCATGTGATTACTTTGGTTTTTTTTCTTCTGCTTCAGCTAAAGTCAGTTTTCCGTTCAAACCCACTGTCCACATATAACCAGCAGCTATGGCTGACGTGCGTTGTGGAGCTGGAACCCTCAGAAGGTATTTGGGGTGGCTTGTTGTTGTTTTTAGTATAAACTCCATTCTGAAGAGGTGGAAAAGACTTTACATTCTCTGGGCACATGCTGACAGGTACGTGTAGAAAGATGGCCGTGACTTACATCAGGAAAGACGGGAAGCTCCTCTGCCCTTCCCAGGGTGAGCCAGGGTGTGTGTCCGTAGGGTCTGGACAGCTGAGAAGGAATCATGTCCTGACACCCCAAGGCATGCTTTTGATCCCTAGGGATACTTGGTAATGTGTGGACAGTTTGACATGGGGAGAGGGAGTATTATGGGGTAGAAGCCAGGGCTACCACTGCAGGTGCATGGTCTAGTCAGTCAGCAGTGGGGGAGGGGAATTGCTGAGCAGTCCAGCCCTGGGGCACCATTGCTGACAGACCAGCCTCTGCACCTTCTGTGGCATAAGCTGTATTTCCTTCAAGTGAGAACTGAGGATGGTTTCTGATCAGCTGAGGTACTCTAAGAAAGAATACCATCCCCTGACCATAGTAAAAAAAAAAAAAAAAAAAAAAAAAAGTGAGAAAAAGCAAAAATAAATTTTACATCAGGATATGTATACTTAGACAATGGTCTAGAAAAAGGATGGACACAAAAAAGTTAATTATGGTTATTGGAGTGGGATTGTAATTGTTCTGTGAAGCCACCTTTGTGTGATTGTTGTTGCTTTTAAATATTTGCATGTATGTGTGTGAGGGGGTGCACACCTGATGCTGGCACAGAGGCCAGAAGAGGGCATCTGGGTCTTCTGTCACCCTCTGTCTGTTCTTTTGAGACATGATCTCTCCCTGAACCTGGGGCTCACATTTTCTGTAAGCCAGAAAGGCCCAGAGATCTTCCTGTCTCCTCTCTCCATGGTGCTGGGGTTCCAGGCATGTGTGGGACACTTGTATGTGGGTGCTAGGATCAGAACTCCAGTCCCAAGCAGCAAGCCTCTGAAACACTCCACCGTCTCTCCAAAATGTTCCTACCCTGTCCCCACCTCTCTCTCTCTAAAAATCTACCACATGTATTTATTTGAGAAGGTGTGTGTATATGTGTGTTTGTATGTGTGTGGAGGTCAAAGGTCAGCTGGAGGGACTTGATCCTCTCCTACCATGTTAAATCTTTGGTGCAGAACTGAGGTGGTTAGCCAGGTTTAGCAGCAGGCCTCTTTATCCACTGAGCCATTTCAACAGCCCTGTTCTCTTTTTTATAATAAGAATATAATTAGACAAAATTTTAGTCAGAAATAGAGACTTGTTTATATCTTGGTATAAACTGAAGAATCTGTGTGGAAAATGAAAGGGGTAATTTCATAGCCATGCACCCATATGTGAAGTGACACGGTGGGTCATAAATGCAGGTTTGACATATCACAGACCCCTCAGCAATGGTGGGAGGTAGTGAAGGCTTTCCAGCATGGAGGGCGGGTGATGCTTCCTGGGCTCTCTGTATGTTCCTGTCAGCAGGAGGCTCTGCTGTGGGCGTTGTCCAATGTGGTCTCAGATAACAGATTTCTCTGTCTCCTAGAAACATCTATCCAAACCAGCTTCTCCATGACTGTGAAAGTCGATGGTGTGTCTCCAGATGGAACCACAAAGTACATTCACAACAAGGTTCACAACCGGACGAGGACTCTCACGTGCACAGGGGTGAGTGTGTTTGACGTCTCCACAGTCGGTCGTTAGCCACAGGTGCTGTCACAGACGTGCTTGTCCACACGCAGTCTGCACACACGCTTGCCTCACACTCATCCCCCTTCCCACCACCCCCTCACTCACCTGGCACCCATCCCCTCCACTTCCCACCCCTGTCGTTTGTCTCGGCTCCTCTGTGTCCCTCCCTTACAGGTACGTCCATGTCATGACCCCATTCTAGTCTCATGGCCAACATACAACACATACAGACACACACGTGGGAAGTCAGGTACGTAAATGTAAGTCTAGGTTCTGCATATAAAGCAGACACTGTTTATCCTTCCTAGTCTGGCCTGATTTGCTTTCCTGTCGCATCCACCCCATGATGCCATTTTCCTTGTTGTTCATAAAACTCCACTTTGAATATGAGCTGCATTTCTTTTCCCCAGTCGTCTGTTGGTTGGCACAGAAGCCTCTTAATTTCACGTAGTCACATACACACAGACATGCATACACACATGCACATGTGCGTGTACACTCAGTCTGACACAAACCCTGAGCCCCTGGGGCACCTGCTGACTGCTGTCCATAGGCAATATGGAGGGCCAAGTCTCAGATGAGCCTCTGCTGTCCGTGGCTTCAGGTGGTTGTACTGGATATTGAAAGCTCTGATCTGTCTGTGGACGAGGGGCAGAGTGCCCAGGCCTCTTGGAGTCAGGGACTACTTTTTTAGGCATCCATTCTGGGATGTAGCGTGTGACCACGGGATCCAGCATACGAATGAACTATCACACCTCTATCCACTGATGCTGTATTCTCTTCAGAAGCCAGCAACTCAGACCCCCCATCCTTGCAACTGCCAGGAGCCACATCGGCACTCAACAGGTTCCTGGCAGCAGGAGCACTTGGAGAGGGGGTCAGAACAGGCAGGATGTTGAAGAGAGGACTTGCTAAACAAGGGATGCTAGCATGGGCTGCCAGGTGTCATGCTGAGGGCCTTCTCTGTGCCACTCATTAAATCCTCACAGGAGGGCCGCAGGGTAGGAGCTACTATCAGATTCTATTTTGTAAAAGAAGAAACAGAGGCCCCAAGAGGTCACAGCCATTGTCCAGGTTGACACAGATGCTAAGTGGAAGGAACGGGATCTAAGCTGGTTTTTTATCCAGAAGCCCTCTGGTGCTCTTTTATCCAGAAGCCTGTGTGTGGCTTTAACCACATGTAGTCTGCCGAGTTACTAGCAGTAGAAATACAGTTGATTTCTCCTGACAAGGAGAAATTTGAACAGGGAAGGACTCGATGCACTGGCCAGTCCTCGTCTCTTGTTTCCTTCCTGTTGATCCAAAGGGTTTAGAACCCTGGCCCGAGGGTGTTGCATGGGTGAGGTGACCCTCTCACCTCAGCAACCCCGGCCATGCCCATCACAGACAAGATGGCATTGGAGAGGTAACTGACCCCCCCTCACACTCCCCCACAAACTCACTATCCCTCCTCCCACCTAAGGAAGCAGTCTGGGCCATTTCTAGAACATATTCTCATCTGTGGGGAATTGAGCCCTTCCCGCCTGTTCTGGGAAAGTCACCAGGATCAAGGTCCCTCTGTGTCCTCACCATCCTGTGTGCAGAAGGCACACAGTCAGTTCTGCTGAATAATGAGGATGGCATGTGTGGAAGTCCCAAAGGCCTCTGCAGCCCCCGGCAGGAATGAGTGAGATCCCCTTGGCCACCAGAATGGGACACACAGCTGCTCAGTGAGTACTGGTTCCACGGCTGCCGTGACTGGTCACCCTGACTTGCAGGTCGGAAGCGTTTTCTCAGCCCATGGGACTTTCAAGAAGAGTAGGCTTGCTGGAGGCTGGGGCCTCTCAGTGCTCCTGGGACATACTCACTGCAACTGTGGTCCTTCCTGTTCTTACATCACACACAGCCTGCATCAGTTTACACGGGTCAGGATTTGGGAGAACCCCTCCTCTAGTTGTCCCCTTATCGCTGCAGGGACACGGTCCTAGCACAGGGAACGGGGATTTGTATGTTAGGTGGTTAGTCATCACTCTATGGTTTTTACATCTCCCTCTCCCTCTCCCTCTCCCTCTCCCTCTCC